TAATAGCCAATTTTTTTAAAACATTGTTTTCAGTTTCTCAAAAGCATTTGTTTGAGCATTTGTGCTTGATTATTAGAAATCGAGAAAAAGAGATTTTGAAAGAAAACATTTCGAGATAGACATGGAAAATACATTGAATTTAAATAGTAAATGTGAGGAATTTTAGAAACTTTGAGATATAGAGGTTTGAGATAAAACAGCTTTAACTGTAATAATAAAGGTCTTAGTTCCAGATTGAAGTTAATTTGACATGTTAAAGTTCAAAAAACATGTAAGTATTACTAAAAATTTAATATGGGGAGGCAAGCCCAGTCTCATTCTAATCGAGAAATAAAACATGATTTGTTTAACATCAAAAAGAAACTTAAAATTTTTTTCAAGTAATAAACAAAACTCATAATTCTTAAGCAAGAATAAAACTATCTCCAAAACCCAGTAAATGTAAGACTATTTAAAAGTTTTATAACAGCTTTCTTAAGAAGACATGCAGAAGGGATTACAACCATTGGAACAGAAAGGTATTACAATTGCAATGAAATTACGCATGAGAAATAAATCTGCAGTGAATAGAAATTAATCAGCAAAAAGAATTTCCAAGCTACTGAAACTATTTACCATTCCGTTAATAATTAAAAACTGCTTTTGTTGTCTTCTTAGAAAAGTTTTAATCCTCGAGATACTCCTTGGATAAAACTGTATTTCAAAAAACTGCAAAAGATTCTCTTATTTTTTCTACACCAGAGACACAGGTGATTGTGACTCAAAGTGTATCTTATCTTTACATCACTAGGTATCTTATCTTTACATCAATTGCAACCAATTCCTTTTAAATTAGGCTTTTCTAAACCATTTAAATTAAAAAAGAGTTAGACACAAACAAAATTAGACTGCTAAAATCGATTCCTTGTCAAATAGGCTTTTCTACCTGATTCAAATTAAAGAAAAGTTTAGAAAGAATAAAAAAAAAATTTGAATCTCTGTTAAACAGAATTTTTCACAATATTCAAACTGAAACTGTTTAAAAAAGCAAACGCAAATGAGAATCACACAAATAGTAATACCGCTAAAAGTAAAAAGTGTTTTAATTAATGCGTTAAACATACGAAAAAATTTTGAACACATATTATACAGCTATAAAAGAAAGCAAAATTAATATCATTATGCACATTAATCAGATTTTACAGCATAGTCATTAATAAAAGAAAGATAAATACATGTACAATAATTTTGAAAAATAAAATATTAGAAAGTATGTATAAACCAGCTTTTTTGAATAAAAGTTGATTGGAAAAAGAAAAAAAAGCTTTTTAGCAATCCCGCCATTTACTTTTATATGATTAGGCCTATTTACCTTTATGGCAATAAACCCACAATTCCATGCTCATAAAATTAATTGTTGACTACTGTTTAGGTCAGTTGCACATGCACACCTTGACTCCTTTTGAGATCTATGTCACCACAAAACTTATTTGAATGCATGAAAAATTTTTAAGTCACATAGGGACAGATTTGGGCACTTTTAAGATCATTGGCCCAAGACTGCTCATTTAAATTTCTTGCAGAAATTCCTTTATTTCATTAACTGTGAATGGTCAGTGCTTATTTAAATGTTCAGATTCGATCACTTTTCATTTTTACCAGCTACCTTTTATTTTTCATAGTAATTTGATTACAGTGGCTATTTCATGCAATTCATCTATCGAAACTCAAAAGTATTGTCAATATTTGTTATAGTGTTTCGGCACTTTTGCCATTGTGACAATAGTTGTACAGTTCCACGCTCATAAAAAACCATAGCCAACTATTTAGATCAACTGTACATGCACACCATGATTCCCTTTGAAACCAATGTACCTTCTCATTTGAATTTTTGCAAAAATTCCTTCAATGGCATGGCAGGTCTAGTATTGTCAAGCAGCATGGTGATTTCACAAGATTGTATATCGGAATGTTTACATTTGATCACTTTTCTGAGTTTTGCTAATGTTTCTACACACCACTGAGAATTTACTATAGCTCCCATAACAAGACAAGCATGAGCTCTTTGTGACCAGTCCTTTAATTACACATTACTCACAGAAACAGAAATTATGAATCGCAACATCTGAACAATTCATGTTTTTTTTAAAAATCAANTTCTATATCAATTTTAAGCACAGTTAGGATGAATTAAAACATGAAAGAAATAGGTTTAGAACATTTTAAGACAAAAATGTTGAGTTTCGAAGCTAACATAGAATAGAAATTTCATTAACATTAATTACATTTTACATATTTACGGAATAAATACCTTTAAAAGAAAGCAAAATTAATATCATTATGTACATTAATCAGATTTTGCAGCATAGTTATTAATAAAAGAAAGATAAATACATGTACAATAATTTTGAAAAATAAAATATTAAAAAGTATGTATAAACCAGCTTTTTTGAATAAAAGTTGATTGGAAAAAGAAAAAAAAGCTTTTTAGCAATCCCGCCATTTACTTTTATATGCCTATTTGCCTTTATGACAATAAACTCACAATTCCATGCTCATAAAAATAATTGTCGACTACTGTTTAGGTCAGTTGCACATGCACACCTTGACTCCTTTTGAGATCTATGTCACCACAAAACTTATTTGAATGCATGAAAAATTTTGAAGTCACATAGGGACCAGATTTGGGCACTTTTAAGATCATTGGCCCAAGACTGCTCATTTAAATTTCTTGCAGAAATTCCTTTATTTCATTAACTGTGAATGGTCAGTGCTTATTTAAATGTTTAGATTCGATCACTTTTCATTTTTACCAGCTACCTTTTATTTTTCATAGTAATTTGATTACAGTGGCTATTTCATGCAATTCATCTATCGAAACTCAAAAGTATTGTCAATATTTGTTACAGTGTTTCGGCATTGTGACAATAGTTGTACAGTTCCACGCTCATAAAAAACCATAGCGAACTATTTAGATCAACTGTACATGCACACCATGATTCCCTTTGAAACCAATGTACCTTCTCATTTGAATTTTTGCAGAAATTCCTTTAATGGCATGGCAGGTTTAGTATTGTCAAGCAGCATGGTGATTTCACAAGATTGTATATCGGAATGTTTAGATTTGATCACTTTTCTGAGTTTTGCTAAGGTTTCTACACACCACTGAGAATTTACTATAGCTCCCATAACAAGACAAGCATGAGCTCTTTGTGACCAGTCCTTTAATTACACATTACTCACAGAAACAGAAATTATGAATCGCAACATCTGAACAATTCATGTTTTTTTTAAAAATCAATGATGTAATGAAAAGCATTGAAAGCATAACAGATGAAAAGTGTGTGAATTCTTATCATTACAACATCAACTACCTTTTCCTAAATAGAATAGTTTTGGCTTAAAGACTTTTGTCTATATCTTTATTGATTGTTGTTAATAATTGTAATATAAAGTATAAAAATATCTTTGTAGCCATGANTTTATTTTTCATAGTAATTTGATTACAGTGGCTATTTCATGCAATTCATCTATCGAAACTCAAAAGTATTGTCAATATTTGTTATAGTGTTTCGGCACTTTTGCCATTGTGACAATAGTTGTACAGTTCCACGCTCATAAAAAACCATAGCAAACTATTTAGATCAACTGTACATGCACACCATGATTCCCTTTGAAACCAATGTACCTTCTCATTTGAATTTTTGCAGAAATTCCTTTAATGGCATGGCAGGTCTAGTATTGTCAAGCAGCATGGTGATCACAAGATTGTATATCGGAATGTTTAGATTTGATCACTTTTCTGAGTTTTGCTAAGGTTTCTACACACCACTGAGAATTTACTATAGCTCCCATAACAAGACAAGCATGAGCTCTTTGTGACCAGTCCTTTAATTACACATTACTCACAGAAACAGAAATTATGAATCGCAACATCTGAACAATTCTCATTTTTTTTAAAAATCAATGATGTAATGAAAAGCATTGAAAGCATAACAGATGAAAAGTGTGTGAATTCTTATCATTACAACATCAACTACCTTTTCCTAAATAGAATAGTTTTGGCTTAAAGACTTTTGTCTATATCTTTATTGATTGTTGTTAATAATTGTAATATAAAGTATAAAAATATCTTTGTAGCCATGAATAAAATTTTTTATCCATATACAGTTAAGTAGAAAAATTATTTTTAGTAAAAGCAATATTTTTTATTCTTAAATTTAATAATAATCAAAAACATTCTAAATTGTAAGATGTAAAATGTTTTGTATACTTTTAAATTACACAATTTACAGTGATAAATTCGAATATTTGAGCTAAATTGGTTGAATAGTTTCTGAGGTTAAAAAAAGGCGAATTAACATTATAAGCAGATACTCACTCACCAAAGCTTTACTTTGAATTCGAGATAATAATGTACAGATATAATACTGTATAGGAACTAAAAAAATTACAGTGGCAGTGCCAATCAATGCACTGTAACCAAGTTGGAGGTAGAGAAGAACCAAAAGAAGAACAACCTGGAAAAGAAATTCTGCTTTTCAATTTTTAGAACAGGTAAATTTTAGGTTTCACCACAGATTATTAATTGAAATTACACTAAGTACATAATTGTTAAAAAAAAAAATTGTGTTAAAAAAAAACATTAAACCTCAAATGAAATCTGAATAATAGGTTTTTAAGGCAAACAGAGATTGAAAGATGTGTTATTCAATAATAAATTAATGAATGATAGTTAACAGCAAGTTTCATACAATAGTGTTTTGTTATTGGCTAAATCTGAAAAAAATGGTGGGAAAAATGACTCACTCCTCACCCTGTATAACAAAACCTGTCTGCAAATGTTCTGAAGTACTATAAATATTCAGCTTCATTAATGTATTCATAGTTTATTGCACTCAGTAAAATACACCTTTTTTTAACTTATAGTCTTTTCATTACAGCATTTTAATAAGTTCATTAAAGCAGCATAAATGTTATCCTGAACACAATAAAAGGAAATTGAAATATTGAATTGGTTCTATGAAAATTAGTTAGACTGGACAGATTTGTTAAAAAAAAAACTGACTTGTACAAAAAAAAAAAGTTAAGCATATAAATTTGCCAGAACACTGCCACTATCTGGGACAAATTCAACTTTTGCATCTGGTCCTTCTGAGTGATCTCTCCATGGAAGTGTTAAATCAACCTCAGGAAGAACTAGAAATTGTAAAATACGTTTTGTACTCACCTACAAACAAAGGGGGGAAAAATTAACCAATGAAATAGAGTGGGTTGATTATTTTAGATTTATCTCAAAAGTTATAAATTTTCACAACAAAGATAATTTTCAGTTTAAAAATTTTAGTTTTTTATACGGATAAAACATATGAAAAAACTTATATGGTTTATCCAGAACACTTGAGCCTTGGGGATATTTAAGTAATGATAAATGTCTGCACCAATTATCTTGGTTAAGGGGCACAAAAAAGTGTTGAGGCAGCAAAAGGCGTGCCAGAATTTAATATATGCTTATACGCTACGGTTTGCCTAGCGCCATTAAGTTAAGCCAGAATTTAATATATGTTTATATGCTATGGTTTGCCTAGCGCCATTAAGTTATACCCTTTGAGTCGGCTCTCTTCTGTGATTTTCCTTCTAACGTTTCACATGACAAGACTGGTTGTTGCCGAAATTCAGAAATTTTTTGGCTCAGGTATTGATACAAAAATCTTCCTGAAGCTTTATTGAGCATTACTAATCAAAGTAAAAAAAAAAAAAACAGTTATGCTATAAATTAAGTCCGATGAAGAAAAAAAGAGAGGGGGAAATATCAATGGTGTACTTTGGAAATTTTTGATCCAAGCTAACCTAAAGATTTATCCCTCGAAAGAAAGTATTTCCGAATGAATTAAATAGATTCATTTAATATTTTATACATACATAAAAAAATGATTCACTGACAAGTACTTTTATATAATTAAGAATTTTCAAGTTAAAGACAGATNAAAAAAAACAGTTATGTTATAAATTAAGATATGTTATAAATTAAGATTATGTTATAAATTAAAGACAGATAGGATAATATGCACTGCTTAAAGAAAAAAAGTGTATTAAAAACATGCATTTATTAATCAAGAAAAGTTAAATATTGGCAATAAAATAAAAATATATACTAAAAATACTTTTTTTCTTAAGCAGTGATAATATGCATTGCTTAAAGAAAAAAAAGTGTATAAAAAACATGCATTTATTAATTAAGAAAAGACAAATATTGGTAATAAAATAAAAATGTATACTAAAAATATTTTTCTTAAGCAGTGATAATATGCACTGCTTAAAGAAAAAAAATGTTTATAATAAACATGCATTTATTAATTAAGAAACGACAAATACTGGTAATAAAATAAAAATATATACTAAATATACTGGTAATATCTTCAAAATTTCACAAATACCAATAGAATTTATTGTTTGACAAACTTTTTGATCTTCTTTAGAATAGATAAAAAATTAATTATAAAATATTTCAGAAAAATAAGACTTACCACAGCATTGATAACCATTGGGATGACAAAAGGTATTATGTAGAGTGGCACAGTAAGTTGATTGAATAGCACTAGACCTGTGAAAACATCAGCAGGCATGAGTGGTCTTCCCTCAATTTTCGAATATAATGAGAATGTCTAACATAAAAAGAAATTTTGTTAAAATATATTTATCAAATTTTAAAAAATTAAATGTGGTGGAATTTGATTTTACGAGGGTTGTAAATTAAATAGTGGCAACTTAACCTTGGAACTCACAGAAGGGCGGGCATGCGTAAATAGGGCATGGGTGGGGGGAGGTGGCGCTGTTGTCGATGTGTAGAGTGCAAAAAAAAAGTCGATTTGCTTAGAAGGGTAGTTGTTGCGTGGCGTTAAAGTGAGGAGTTTCTTTTCCATCGCTCTAAAGCATGTTGTGAAAAGGCTTGATGACGAAAAAAGACGAGATGCTTGAACCCATCGTGCTACTGTTCTATACGGTAAAACATTTGCTCCACAGGCTTCCACTAATCCTCGCCAGCATTCTGCTGCATTTTTCCACGGGCAACCTCGATTGTAAATCACGACCGCTGATCACCTTTTGAAAACATGCTTTAGAGCGATGGAAAAGAAACTCCTCACTTTAATGACACACAACAACTACCCTTCTAAGCACATTGACTTTTTTTTGCACTCTACATATCGACAACAGTGCCACCTCACCGCTCCCATATCCAATTTGCGCATGCCCGTCCTTCTGTGAGTTTCAAGCTTAAGTTGCCACTATTAAATCTACAACCCTCGTAAAAAGAAACTATAAAACTAATGATTTAATATATAGCATACCACTAGTGTCGCAATTATTGATGATGTTTGAGTGATGAAA